GGTTGACGTTTCGAAACCCTCAGTCTCTCTCACGGCTCCTGAAATTTACAAAATATATTAATAGTTGAAAATTATTTTTAATGCAATAGTGTTAATATAATAGGGTAAATAGTTTTCATAATTTATGCTTACTAATAACAATTTTATGTAGCTTTGAGTTCTTGATTCCGCACACGGCTTTCGGACCTTGTCCCGTAAAACTTACTTCTTTTGCGAAATGATTTGTGAAAATTTCTTGCAAAATACTTGCTACGACACCTGCCACATGGTCACCTCCTTGGAGTTTGAGATTTTCGACCTGCATAATAACAAATATTGTAATTGGCTTCTTATTCTAATATTTGATGTTCGATAATTGTAAATTTTAAGCACGCAAAGTATTTTTACCATAGACTCTTGATTTGTCTCGTTATTGAGCCAGTTATTTAATAAGACGAGATCCTCTTTGTTGGTCAGAGGAAGCGGTGGCGCACCCACTAGAGTAGTGATTTTTTTGCACGTTTTTCCTAATGCAGTTTGTCTTAGCTTGTGGTTAATTATGACCAGTTTCTCAATGATGGTTTGTTGAAATCCTGAGACAAATAAAGTTATAGTTAAGTTGCAAAAATTACACTTAATTTAAGTCTTATTATAGTACTTCTGTTTTCCTCTTGGAACTCTGTCAGAAGCTGGACGACCGTTTTTACATCAAACGTCTCGCTCACAATAAGGCCGGGTGAAATGTTGGGCGCTGTTGTGTCGAGTTTTCGAAGCTCGTTGTCGACCACTACATACTCGTCTACTTGGGGAGTGTTTGGCTGATCGTGTATTTTTTCGTCTAGAGAAGAACATATTTAAGTTAGGTTTATCATTTTTATTAGTTATGTAACTTTATGTACCGTTAGCGTTAATTGTGACCAACTGGAGGCTTAACTTTGTAGAAGAAGGTTGAGCAGGTCCCGACGTGAATTTAATATTTTCTTGACTTCCTGACTCGTCACTTGACGTACTGGACGACCTTGCCACCGGTGGGGGTTTCCGTGGTTTGGTCTGTTTTCCTTTTAACAACTTTTTTTGTCGCAATCTTCTGGTGTCTAACTCGTCGATAGCCGAAGGTTCAAGGTTTGAAGTCTCTTCCGCTCTTATTGAGGCCTCACGAGCGAGCAAAAAGTTATCTGCAAATAATTCAATAAATGATTTATTTATTTCCCGATATATGCACTCAAGTTAATTAATATATTCTTACCATATTCACCAAGTATCCGGCATGTGCAAATTAGCCAGTCAGAAGAAGGAGAGCTGTGGCTGGCTAATAATTTTGCCAATTTAGCCCCTCGAACTTTAGTTGGTGGATATCTGCACACTTTCTCTTTGCTATTCTGCTCTGCACTTAATGATGGCAAAATCCAGGTAGATGATATAACGTCGACAGCATTTTCCTCATCAGGAAATACCACAACGGTAAACTTGGCCATTCTTTTAAAATGTTAAATGTTAACCGACTTTTTTGACTGATTAATGGCGTACTGACTGAAAAGAAAGGCGAAGAGACAGAGTGTGAATGGCGGTGGTGGGAAAAATCACCCAGTCCGCGAATACCCCAAACTTCCCATTGCCGTAGCATTGCCATAGGAGGTAAGACTCTGTATATTTCGTCTTGTTGGGCTCTGCACTCGGTCGGGGGCCCAACGTTGGCGTAGGATGGGCGTTTACCCAGAAAAAAATTGCACTTAGCCGTATGAAATAAGAGCCTCGGCAAATGCTCGGAGTGGGTGCGGCAAAAATTACAACTCTCTGCCGACGCTGGTGACCATTTGAAGAAGTTTTTAAGAGCTTCTTGGCAACTCGGGTTGTTTTTGCATATTATTCGAAGAAATCAAATTGAAATTAAAAAATTTCAATTTTTTACAAATTTGAAATTTTATTTTGTTATCCACATGTTATAAAACTTGCACTATTATAACAAACTACAGAGGATGATTTACTCACCTGGTCGCCGACTTTGACCTTTAATAACTCCGGAACGGTTTGGAGTGTAACTGCGTGACATTTTCTATGTGAGAGCCCTTCTCCTGAACTACAAGTCGACATCTTCTGTTCCAACTTTTGTACACTTTCTTGACCATGGGGACGTCGACTTTCTTCCACTCCTGTTTTAGGAGTGGAAGTTTTCCAAACTCCTTCCAAAATTTTGGGTCTCCTGGTAAACATTTTTCTTTTAAGGTATCCGAACCCGAAAAAGTCCATGGGACTTACATCGGGAGATTTGACAGGTATTTCACTATTCGAGATGATTTTTATCCCGAGTTTAGCATGAAGGTCCTTTGTATAATCCTGGGTCAACTTCGCCGTATGAGAGGACGCCGCGTCGTGGTGGACAACCACTTTATTAATTTTTTTCCCGTACAGTTTTCGTAGATGGACCTCCAAAAGTGGTTTCAAAACACAATTCACATAATACCTTGCAGATATCTTCACTTTTTGGGGCACTTTTAGTAATGGGAGGACACCACGACCGGTCATTGCACCTACCACCATAAACTTTTTGCAAAAGTTCTCCTTGTGAGGGAGCACTAAGTTCCGTGAATTTTTAGAGGTGTTTGGTTAGGTTAGGTTAGGCACCAACAGTGCTTCGTCCAATGTGACTAAGTACTCACTTCTGTCGTGGGTCAAATAATTTTTATAAAATTGTTTGCAGGTGAGCCTGCGATTTTTTTTATGTTTTTCAGTCAGCTGATGCACGCGAGGCTTACGTCGTACCTTTTTGTTTAAAATTTTAATTGCTCTGTTCACTGAGCTCTGTGACACTTTAACTTGCCTAGCAATTTGTCTTTGGGTGGGTGGATTGTCCTTTGAGGTCACGAGGTCAATTTTCCTCAGCACAGCCTGAGTTAGCACTTTTCGTCGGCTTCTTCTCGGGGGTGGGGTTGGTCCTTCTGCCAAAGCTTGTCGTTTTTTGCCTCTATTTTTTAATACATTGGTTATCCCTTTCTTCGAAACCGAGTGCCCCCAACTTTTAAGGTGTTTAATTATTTGGCTATACGAGTATTTCAGTTTGGAAAGTGTTTTAATTGTACTTTCCACTTCCGGGGTCAGTGGGAGGGGCATTTTACAGGTATGGCAAAGATGGTGGGGTCGATTTCAAACCTTAATTACTCGATGACCTTTTGTGATGAAGGCGCCGGATATGTTTTATATGAAAGCCCGTATCTTGAACTTTAAGTCGACATCTTCGAGTCCAACTTTTGTACGTTTTCCGAACCATGGTGAGATCAACTTTCTTCCACTCGTCTTTCAACACTTTCCAAAGCCCAGAAATTGTGCAAGGGCGTCTTCGGAAGGACTTTATTTTCAAATATCCGAAGCCGAAAAATTCCATTGGACTGGCATTCGTTGATTTGACTATGATTTCACTATTGGAAATGATTTTTATCCCAAGACTATCTTTTAAGTCCTTGGCATAATCTTGAGTCAATGTTGCTGCATGAGATGACGCCGCATCATGGTAAACGATCACCTTTGAAGTTTTCCTTGCGCTGAAGCACCAAGTTTGGGGTATTTTTATTATTTAGTAAATCATAGTAAATTCTTCTGGTTATTTGTATTTTGTAAAGCCACTAATGCGTCGTCTAATGTCACAAAAAACTCACTTCTATCATTTGTCAAAGAATTTGCATTAAAGTTTTTGCAAGTCCGTCGGGGATTTTTTATGTGCGTCTCATTGAGCTGATGGACGCGTGGTTTCCTCCTGACCCTTTTTCTTAAAATTTTCAAACCGATTTGCACAGAACTCCTTGACACTTTAAGTTTTTGTGAATTCTCTTCTTGGGTTGGTAAGTTCGATTTGGAGGTCAAAAGGTCAATTTTTCCTAACACGGTCGAACTTAGCACTTTCCGATGGCAACTTCATGGAGGTGTTAGGAACCCTTCCGAAAGGAATTCTCACTAAATTCCTTTTATAATTAGTACATTATAAACTAAATTTTTATTTGCCAAATAGCCCTGACCTTTGACCTCTTTAACTATTTGGCTATGCGTGTATCCAAGTTTGAAAAGTCTTTTTATGAGTATCTCTATTTCCAGAGTTGTTGGGGGTGGCATTTTTCAAAATAATGATCTCAAATTTTACATAAAATTTTCTGAGGATATAATCTATCACGTGAACAAATTTGAATTTAAAATTCCAACCCATTCCCAAAATATCTCAATTTGAAATCGACCCCACCATCGTTGCCATACCTCTGTATAAGATAATGACCTGATTTTTTCAACAAAAGTTCTAGAGCGTGTTGCACGACTGTGTTCCAAATTTCGAGCCGAACTAACAAACGGGTCCCGAGTAATTTGAGATCAAATTCGGCGACCAGGTGAGTAAATCATCCTCAGTAGCATAGAAGCCCGTCATAAGGAGGAGCAGAGATTATTTAAAACCACTTATGGGTTTTTTATCGTCCCTAAGATATTTGTTTTATTTTGCTGATGAATTTTCTTACACGTTGCCAAGGAATTTTTTTAAAGTTGTTAAGTAATTTTTTTCGCCTTGAGAGCGATTTTTCTCAACATTGCTAAGAATTTTTTCCCGTTGTTGGGGATTTTTCCCCCTTCTTTATGTTTTTAAAAAATCTGATTCAGCCTACATTAGATGTCGAAGAGACTTTTTTCGAAACTCAAATCTTTGGACCACCCAAAGAAAAAGATAAAAAAACAGTATTGGAATTTAGATAAGGTTGAACAATTATTAAAAGGAAATGAAGAGCTAAATTTGAGTATGTATATTTGTTGGCGAGATGATAACGTAATACGTAATCATTCGGAAATAATTATTTATTACGCAATATTCTCTGTGTAGAATGTGTAGAATATATAGAATCATTACTACACTTTTGAAGTTGTTCTTGACATGTACATACAAACAGAGTGGAATAGTTTTGTTCGATTTTCGGTGTCAATCATATACTGAAGTTGATTCAGGATGATAAGTCTGTATTTTCCATTTTATGTTTTATTAACTCCCTGCAAACCTATGTCCCAGTTAAATGAAGTATTCTATGAAAAGCCTTGCGATATCCTGGCACCGCAAAGGCATAGATGATGGGATTTAGAGCGCCGTTTCCATACCGAATCCAACAAAGAATAGTGTACAATACGTTGGGAACGGCGTCTGCAGTGAAGAACGGGATGTAAGAAGCCAAAAGGATGCCGACCAATATTGCGGCACGTTTTGCAAGGTTTATCTGCTTCAAGGATGGTGTTGCTTTCTTTAAGGTCGTGGATTTCATTTGTTGTCTCATTGATGAGGACGAAGCTTTGTCCGATTTGTAAGAAATGACTCCAATTCTATTCGTCGAATTTTCGACGTTTGTTTCGACCTTTTTTGCGACATCGAGGGAGATAGAAGTTATTTGTTGTGAGGATAACATAGGATCTATAGTTGACCGGAAAAAATTCCGTTTTGACCAAATCTTTCTTTTCAAAGAGGGATGAGGTGGTCTGATTTTATGAAGACACATCGATTTCAAGACTTTAACCAAAAAATTCATATTCCTACTACTTGCCTCTACGCTTTTGGCACGACAGCGCCCCAATTTACGCGAAGTCCACGCTTCTTCAATTCTTCCAAATGTGTTGTCGCTATGATGTAGATCCTCCAATACAGAAATACCATGAATCCGGTCGGAATGTAGAGAATTCCAATCGTGGCGATTAAAACGTGACCAATCTGATTGTTAACTTTGCAACCAAAATCGGCCTCCCGGTCGTCAGGCGGTTCTGGGAAGATAAGTACGGAAGATAGTGTAAGGAAACCGGCGAGCCCCCAGACGATACACATTATCGCGATCACCCTGTAAAAAAATATCAGTACAGTATTGCGCAGTCCGAGGCAGGCTTTGCTCTTTAAAATAGTTCTACTATATAGATATCATTAACAATTTTAAGACCGAAATACCGAACACTGAAATAGCGTTACTGGTAGACGGTCGGACAGACGGATAATGGACAAATCTTATAAAGAATATAGAAACAGGTGCATATATCGGCTCTGTGTCAGGCTAAAAAATTAAGAACTCGAAATCCATAATTACTTATTTTAAATCAAAAATATTCACAAAATTATTCCCAGAATATTCCAGATACCTTGGCACGCTCAGAATTTCCCGATGCCTTAACGGATGCTTAACCCCGACGTAGCGCTCAATACAAACCGCCAGCGTTGAGAGGATGGACGCCGAGCAGAGCCAGAAATGTATGATGACCCAGGCATAGCAAAATCCTGCCCCGAAATACCACCTGTCTGTAACATGGACCACGGCGAGGACCGGCATGGCCAAAATACCAACTTGAAAATCGGCCAGGGAGAGATTCGCGATGAAAAAGTGGGTCGGGTTGCGAAGTTCCTATCGTCAAATGTTGCCGGCAATTAGCCTTAAATGTGCTACCGCCGCGGGTTTGGGCTATCTCTATTAATGAGTTGCTCGATCCCCCTACATAGTACATCGTCAAATGTTCATAATTTGAAATTTAAATTTTTAAATCTCTCCCGCGCATATCATCTTTATCACCAGTTTTTTTACCCGTCTCCTTTTCACAAAGGTGTACACGACGAAGAAATTTCCAACAATTGTGAATATCACGATAGGGCTGAGAATAATTGTTTTCAAAGTCCTGTCCCAAGTCCAGTTCCATTTAGGAATTGTAGGGCTATTTATTTCTGATGTGTCGTTGTCTGAAACATGATAATTAACAAATTTCTCTCCAAAGGAATACATCGGCAGCAAAAGATTAATTCGATTCAGTCTACTGAATATTTTTGCAAATTGTTCAAATAAGATTTAAAAAGATACGGCATCACCATTTGAGCTTTTTCCCTGACAAAAACAAAAACCCGACTGGCGTCTTTACAATTTTTACTAAACTATAATGGTTATTTTGTTTGTTAATCCTGTCCGAATTTTTTTGCACGAATTCTAAATAATACACGGAACCAGGTGACGCACGAGAAAGAAACTGGGCAATTTTTATAGAGTCAGATTAGGCTTTGCTCATATAAATATGTAACTTCTTACGGATTACTGATGAGTAAAATGATAAATGAGTTGTGCACACGTATTTACTCAATTACTTTCATAGATCCGTGTACGCATGAAATTTGTTGATGGGCAGTGATTGAACAGCTAAACAAAATATGTATGCGTCTATCCTAGTGGAGACTGTGATAAGTTTTTTTATTTATTTGATAATCAAATCAAGCACAAAAAAATTGTGTCGCTTATTATTATGTGGTCACGGTGGGGTGGTACTAACTTACTTTAACATAAGTTACTTAATTATCTACGATGAGAAATAGCATGTACCAAACCCACATTTTTTCAATGGATTTGGTACACATTAAATGATCCTGGAACTGGTGTTAGATATGCATATTTATATTTACTCAGGTATTTACTAAATAAATAAATACTTTTGATTTAATCAGAGTAATGCATAATGTAATACTTAATTGAGACAGTGCCCCTGTTGTTTTAATCAATTAATGGAAATTTCCAACATCTTGGCACTGGTAAATTATGACTTATCAATTTTATTTATGGAACATTAATTAACCGAGCAGAAAGGTTGTATAAATTTACATACTCATGTAATTTCATTGAAAATAATAGACCCAAGAAAAATAAGTATGATGCGTAAATGTGTAATTCTTGTGTGAAGATGCTTTATTTTTAGAGACATTTTTCCTGGAAATGTAGACTAAGGCTTTTAACACCTTCTCTACTACTATAACATGTGGATAGAATTTGCCTATGTGTCTGACATTTCTTCTAGCCCTACGATATGGAGACATTGAAATTTAGTCCTAAGGTTTGTGGTTTAACGGCGTCCTGAATTGAAGAAAAATCAAGCTGCTTTGGTCCCTTTGTACTAAAATTAGACTCAGTTCGGTACGAACCTCTGTAAAGAACAAAAATGCAGTTATAAACGTGAAGACATGCATACACGTTTTGTGGTTACTATTCACCGTACATACCTCACAGACCCTTTCAGTTCTATGATTTGCTACCAAGTATTCTAACTCCCAGTATTTTTTACAACACTTTTTAACAGAAGTATCGTATTTCGCGTAGTACGCTATTCAGTTCGACCATTACCCATGTTTTTTTTAAATTTAATTAGTTATCAATTTGACTTTTGGAACACCAGACACGATTTGTACAAATATTCTAGTATTCACATAAATAGAAATCAAAGAAATTTACTCGAGAGCATTCCCAGTTGTCAAAAAAAGATTGGAATGGATTCAACCCTGTGGGAGTGTTCCGTTTGCATGAAGCCTTTTCAAAAGAAATCTCAACTTGCCCGACATGCCAAAATTCACGAAATGTAAATTCTCAAGTTACTTGTCAGCTAAGAGGGAACTATGTGTTTCGGAACTTTAGTAATCAATCACAATAGTATTTAAGATGCTAAATATTGAATTATTATTAAATTACCTTTTGGTACATGACAAATCCATTTCTAATGTCTACTCCCCACATATTTCTTCTTGTAGACGTGCATGAAAATCCTAAAAAACCGGAGAACACTAAATAAACATTTCCGTCTCATTCATAGAAATAAAATAAAGAAAATCTGCAAACTGTGCAACAGAGAACTTGGCAGTGCCGACAGCTTACGAAGACATATCAACAGTGCTGGAGATCGGCCTCGATACCCTTGCACATTCCCAGGATGCGGAAAATCCTTCACTAGCCAGTACACCGTTACCAAGCACGTTAATGACGAACATGCCGGGAATCAGGCCCGATTTCATTGCGCGTTTTGTTTCAAATTATTTATACAAAAGTGCGACCTCACCCGCCACATGAATACCCACAGATGGAAAGAGCTATCAATGCCTCACATGTGGATGCAGATTTGCACAGCTCAACCACCTAAAAAGACATCAGGTAAGATGATGGAACTCCTTAAAAATCAATTTCTGATCCGCAATTAAATTTGCGCTCGCACATATTCTCGCAGAAAATCCATCTTGACAAGACCACCCGAGAGGTTTTCCCCTGCAGATTTCCAACCTGCACTAAGTCCTACTTAGACAAGGGCGTGGCCGCCACTAGCGGAACTATAGATTCGGGGCCGGTATGTGAGCTAGTTTGGGGGCCTATCAAAATTTTCAGTCTTAAACATGTTCCAATTTTGTTTTTTGTAATAGGAGAACTGAAAAATATATTGATTTCGCGATAACATTGGCGGTAGAAACCATTTCAATTTTGACTTGGCATAAATTATTTTTTATTAGCAAAACGTTTAATTTTTATGAAGGAGTACAAGCCAACTAATTAATTATAACTAGATCAAGTTTTAAATAACAATACGACTACTTTAATGTGGACTATACAAGCAATTGTCACAAAGTCAAAACTTCATTCTTTTGGACTTTTTTGTAGCAAACTCATTTACCTGTTCCTCAATGTTACTAAAATCCATCCTCTTCAGCTCCACATTAAGGATGGATATACCGGTCAATCATTCGTGGCTCATAGTAGAACGCAGGTACTTTTTAATGAGCTTGAGCTTGGACAAGGAGCGCTCAACGCTGGCCAAGCTGACCGGTAGTGTCAAACTAATTTACAGACCGTTAAAATATCTGGAAACGAATCATCAAGATATCTCAAGTAGTCTTGTCCCAACTTATTCTACGGTTGTTATATTCTGCACCTCATTTGGAAAAGCAGATGCAAATACTCGAACCTGTTTTGGTAAATTTGACAACACGTCCAGTTCGTGCGAGATGCAAAAATCCTGGGCGCACTTGAAATCGGAATCTGCTTATTTTTAATCAAACAGTACATCTGGAGTTCTAATCTAAGTATATCCATAACTTTTTTTAGGCCAACAAATCGGCAGATGAAACACTTTAAAATGCGTGCTTACACTGGATCAAATACCGTCTTCTCATATGCAGTCACATACTTCCAGATACTTGTCGATAGATAATTAGCCGTAAAGCTTTTTCCTGAATCTCTATCTTCGCGTCTGAAAGTCACTTGAGATGCCGCAAGTTGCTGTCAAACTCCTCGCTGCAGATTCAATGTCACGATAATTTTTCTGCAAGTTATCCAATGTTGCAATGCACTCTTTTAAAACTTTGGCAGCCAATGCAAAGTCTACTTTTGGAGAATGCAGAATTTATAATACAATATTGCAGCTTAGAATAATTTTCTCCCAAAAAAACAAATGACAAGATGAATCCGAATTTTGAGATGTTTTTCTTACTCTTTTCTTAACTTGATTTCTTTCTTCAACTTTTGCACTGGTAAGAGGGTTCCTCGTCAACTCAATTATTACAGATTCATATTTGATTAATAAAGCATGGATTGCTTCATGACGTGACTCCCATCTTGTTGGGCATAAATTCTTCAAAGTTTTACTAGACCCACCCTCATCAAGCTATTCTAAATTTCACCATCTAATTCCGCTGCCCAAAAAAAGGTGAATACTTTCTGTACTGTTTCGAAGAAGGTCTGAATGATAGCTGGCGAATTTATCGCGTAAAAGAAAACCAGGTTAAAATTATGAGCTGTATGGTGAACGTTGAAGGCATTACTGACATCTCCAGAAATTATTGCTTGTAGTCCTTGGTAGGCCCCGCAGTGACAGTAGATCAGTTTTTGGGACGGTGAATATGCGATACACTTCCATCTTTTTTCATACTGCCGGAGTCGACAAAGTAGTATGTTTCGGAAAATCGTGTGCCATCAACTCCTTCCGAGAATGTTCCACCAGGCTGACATGGACCGATTCGGGCGAGTTACAATTTTAATTCTAGAGTGAGTTCAGTTGACTGGAACAACGACTTATCAGTCAGAAATGGAAAAGATAGATTTACAACTGCAAAACATTTAATTATGTATGTGGATAACTTCTCAATGAAATAAAATATAGAAATCACGTCAACCTCGTAAATTATGACCTTTGTCGGAATCCCCGACATCTCCCGATCTGCTATTATCAGGATTTTCCAAATAAAATTGAATTTGTGGTTTCGGTGAGTTTTGTTTCGTGGTGATAACTATTAATTTACTATGACGATTAATTTAAGGACTTTTCGATTCTTCATTATCCCCCGAATCTCTGACGTCAATGTCACGAGCTGCTTGTAATACAATTAAAGTACAAGGCAAAAATAAAAGATTGAAAATGACAATAATTAATTAAAATTAACTAAATTCTTTATTGATGTACTAAATTTAAAATATACCGCCAACTTCCTTAGAAATGTTGGAGATTTCAGCCGCGTCATTTTTATCGACACTAGTCGAAGTATCCTGGAAGGTTTCAATTTATGCGAAATAAACCATCTTATGTCAGTTGTAACTTTCTTCATACTGATACGTTTTTCATCCGCGATTTTCTGCTCCTCGCAGCTTTTTTATAGGTCCGTTTCATCTTTTGGAAAGGCACGAAGCACAGCCGAAACTGGGCACCACAAGTTGTAATTAGTATGATGACAAACGAAAAATTTAAATCAAACACGAGTCTAACAATAATGTAATAAATTATTGATTAATTAAAAAATGGAAAAAATTAAACTGTGTATGTAGGCCCCAACATTTAAAAAATCATTTTAACATTTTTTTCCCTTTTTTTGCCATACAATCAAATTAGTCCCAGTTACTGTAAACGCCAGACCAACCCTGGACTTGTAATTATTTATTTAGCAAAGTTGTAACAGAATCACTGCTCGCATGACTACGTACATACATACGTAAATACGTGTATTGCATAACCTAAAATTGGAGGACATGCAAAAGTTAGATACGTGAAACTTGTTAATAAATTTGGATTTAATATAGAAATCGGTTTTGCTAATTTTTAAGAAAATATTTTATTCATCATGCAAAAAATCCAATAATATGTATACATCAGCGTCCGACGGCCGGGGGCCGTCGGACCTCGGGGGCCAATATGTGGGACCTCCCCCACCTACCCCTAGTTCCGCCAGTGGTGGCCGCGCGGAATTTTCAAACAGAGCACGCAGAATATCCTCTCCGATTTCTGTGCATGCTTTGCAAACGCGAGTTTAAACAACAGGGAAGCCTCAACGGGCATATTGCTACCCATACGAAAGAGAAACCATACAAATGTGCCATTTGCGGAAAAAGCTTTGCGCTTCAGAAAACCCACAAGAAACATCAGGTTAGAAAGCAAATATCAGTAGGAATGACTTACCTAAATTTAGTCAAAATTATTTAAGAGCATTTCCTGTTTCAGCGGACCCATCAAAAAAAGAAGACCGACTAATTCGTAAATGTGACTTGTGTCCTAAAACTTTTACATCAACATCTGAAATCCAACAGCACATTAGGGCTTGCCATAGAAACAGTGAATATTTTCAGTGTACCCAATGTGATAAGAGACGACCTTGCATAATTTGAAACTCCATGTGAATAAGGGTACATGAAAGGGTGCCAATGTAATTTTTGTGGAAAGCCATTTTTGGATTTTATGATCTGCTCAGTCACTATAAAATTCATACTTTGGAGAAGTAAAACATCATGTTTTCAAATTTATCTAAGGGTAAATAATTCATATCTAGCATGAAATGTATTGCAAACTCTGTACCACTATTTCGCAAATGAAACATATTTGATACATTTGTACTTAGCCCGCCTGCAGAACGAAATACTTGGAAATTATATGTATATATGTATTACATGCATTAAACAAAATCAGGGTTCCCGAATACCCTTAGTATTGGAGCAAAAACCCCAATACTCATACCTCAATACCCCATTACCCGGGGTTAGGAACCCTGAACAAAATGTTTCTATACATAAATATCACGCCGTGTGTGTATCTAAATAGGTTACCATATAAAAAAGGTAGGTTTTGTTCACACACAATCCAAATAGCATTCCTTGAGCCCTTTCTGGCAGAAATTTATCTTCACCAAACCAACCTTTTTTTATCCTGACAGCTTTGGTGAGGTGCCACGTAGTTGGCATGGAAGTCATTCCACCATATTGTCGGTCGCCTCTATTTTTCAACTAATATAATATTTGTGGATAGAATTTGCACATGTATGTACTTGACATTTATTCTGTCTTCACGATATGGAGACATCTAAATGGAGCCCAAATTATACAATCCTTAGTATGAAGGCGTCTTGAGTCGAACAAAAATCAAGGTTCGATGGTCTGTCTGTGCTAAAATTAGACTCAACTTTCTATGAACTTTTTTTACAAAAACAAGAATTTAATTATAAACGAGAGAGCACCTCAGGTTAATATTCGCTCGTACGTAACTGTCAGGAAGTTTCAGTTCTAAACCTTATGTACGACTTACATACCAGAAATGCTCAAGTGTTCTAAATCACGATACTTTTGACAGAACTTTTTGCCAGAAGTATCGTACTTCCCGAACTATGTTGTTCAGTTCGTCTATTATCCATGTTTTTTTAAATTTAATTACATATATATTAATCTTCGTTTCGGAGAAGAAGGCACGATTTAGGCAAATGTTCTACTGTTTACTTACATATTATAAATAATAAACCAACACATTTAGTCGAGAGCATCCCAATTTGAGTGAGAAAAATTAGAATGGATTCCACCATATGGGAGTGTCCCGTTTGTAGGAAGGCTTTTCAAAAGAGGTATCAACTTGCCTGGCATGCCATCATGCATGATGAAAATTCTCAAGTTCAGTGTAAGGTAAGAGGAAAATATATGTATCAGATTTTAACTAAACAAGCAGAAAAGTATTTAATATACTAAACATTCTACTTTGTAATTACTTTATTGATTATGACAAATCCCTTTCACAGGCCCGTCTACTCTTCATGTGTTTCTTTCAGATTTGACAGAAAACCCTAAAAAACCAGAGAACACTAAATCAGCATAATCGTCTCATTCATACAGATAAAACAAAGGAAATCTGCAAATTATGCAATCTTGAAGTTGGCTGTCCCGCTAGCTTACGAAAACATATCGACAGCGCACATAATCCTGCAGATCGTCCTCGATGGCCTTGCACTTTCTTAGGATGTGGAAAAACCTTCAGCGCTAACAGCAACGTTACCAAGCACGTTAAGAACGAAACATTCCGGGAATCCGGCCCAATTTCATTGCGCATTTTGTACCAAGGTATTTAAACAAAAAAATCAGCTCGCCCGCCACATGAATACCCACACGATGGAAAACAGCTATAAATGTGTCACAGTGTCACATGTGGAAGGAGATTTGCACACCTCGACCGGCTAACAAAGCATCAGGTAAGTTGATGGAACACCTGAAAATAAATTTCTGATACATAATTAAATTTGTGTTCATATTGCCACAGAAAACCCATCTAGACAAGTCTGAACGAGAGGTTTTCCCTTGCCGACTTTCAACCTGCAATAAATCCTTTTTGTACAAGGCTGTGGCCGCACAGCACTTTCAAACAGAGCACCCCCAAAATCCTCTCAGATTTCTGTGCATGCTTTGCAAACGAGAATTTAAACACAAGGGGAACCTCGACGCGCATATTGCTACTCATACGACAGAGAAAGCACACAAATGTGCCATTTGCGGAAAGAGCTTTGCAGTTCGCAGTAACCACAAGAGACATCAGGTTCGAAAGAAAATATCAGAACCATTGACTTAGATAAGTTCAAGCAGCATTATTTAATTGTGCATCCTGTTTCAGTTGACCCATCAAGGAATAGAGGACCGACCGATACGTAAATGTGACTTGTGTCCCAAGACTGTCCTAAGATCCAGAATCCTAAGGCATATGAAGGCTTGCCATAGAAACCGTGAATATTTTCTGTGTACCCGTTGTGATAAGAGAATATCGACCCTAACTAATTTGAAATTTCATATGAAAAGGGTACATGAAGGGGCTAAAGGGGGCCAATGTTATTTTTGCGGAAAGTCTTTTTTTGGATTCTATTATTTGCTCCGTCACTATAAAATTCACACATTGGAGAAGTAAAACATGATCTTTAAATGAAAAAAAAAACCAGAAGAAGAAAAGTTACTTTAAAAAATGAGTAAAAGGTGCGAACAGTTCCCCTTCGTGTGAATATATTTGTGAGAGTCAAAATTCTGAGGCCACTTAAGTATACCTACACTGTGTTAAAAAAGTTCTGCGTACACCCCATAAAACTGCCCGCCGGTGAACAAAAATATCAACAACTATCGGAAGCAAGGATGAAACTTACATAAAATATAATGGTAGCAAAACTTCGTAAGAATGAATCGTTACATTTTCAAGGTTGAAGGTTGAATTTTTATCAATTCTTTCTTGCGATTTCTGGTCATCAATTTACAACAAGAGATTGATTTTCCTTGCAAAACAATTTAAAGTTAAAATATACTGGTACACACCCGGTTTGCGTTTTGCTTAAACAATGATCTTTATTTCATTCAAGGCAAAATATTCATAATTCCATAATTTCCCCCTCATTCAAATGTCTCCCTATAAAACTCGCCATCAAGTATAGCAGGGTCGATTAGGATCCTTTCTTCTTCCTCCGTGTTCAGCTAGATCATAAAAGTTTGCGGATATCGCAAATTACTCATCTCCATTAAAGCACTTTTAATTTGAATTTAGAACATTGGGTGTACTCACGACACGACAACCTGCGCAAATCATTTTAGATTTTTGTATGTTAACTTTGACGGTATAAAAATTTTGCAGAATCTAATAAATTCAAGAAAAGTTTACAACTTCTCAGTATGCGAGGTTTTCTATGAGTAGGCCCATTGTATTGCTGAATTAAATCAAGTTTATATGCACACTAATTATGCTGCTTTAAATAAATACATCAAAATATGTATTCGCATCATGTATATAATTGCATACGCATACATAAAACTATAATTTCTATCAACTTGCCATGTACACTGTTGCCGTGTTGCCAATGTTCAGCTGGACTTGGTCATCAAACCTGGTAACCTTTGCCCCTTGGATGGCTACCCTGAATGGCACAGCGTTCACTAGAAATCTTTCTTCATGACGTCGCCAAACGTTGCAGTCAAACTGACCCCCCTGAAATTAAACAACGAAAATAAATCGTATTTGCTATGAAATATTTCACTCATAGAATATTTTATGATACAAAACCATGAATGTATGTATATCCATCCTTGTCAGGGATAGACAAAATAGGCGAGTTGAAAATACAAAATACAAATACATTAGAAATTTTAAAATACATTTGTATTTTAAACAAGTAATGGGTGTCCGGATAGTAAATTTCGTTTTAAATACGTAATACGATAAAATCTATTTAATTAATACAGACGAATAAAACTGGAAAATAATGATGTGCACATCCCAATTACATAAATTTTGGCGCACCATCCTTGTTGATATAAGAAATGTGAATAAGTATCTTAGAAATGTATTGTGTATTTTGATTGTAAAATACATTGCCATGGACCCAAACTCTGACCGCCTTAGCTACCCACCATAATCTGCAGTTCGATGAAGCGTCGTAGCTCATCCGGACCCTCGTCTGCATTGTGGACACGAACAACGGTCCCGAGAACATCTATTAAATTTGGGCAGGAACGTAGAATAAAAAAAATATGCATACAGATAACTTACTTTCATGGACAAATATCCATCAACTCACCGACAGCCATTGCCACATCCGTGTCGTTAACTACTTGCGCATTACTGAATTGAAATGGCACGAAACCCCGGACATCTTCAAGGCCATGTCCAACCTCGTTATCTTCCACCATGTTGTGGAAAAGTAACTCGGCCCCGTTGCTGTGATTCTGTGTGGTATATTCTGGTTGGAAATTCCTAACTCGGGCCTCAAAAGTGTACAATTTACCAACCTGATACATAAAATATAAAATTAGTGTTTACCGTGGACACCATGGTAACGAGGCCATGGCAGGTTAAAATAACCTAGGTATATGAATTATTTATATGGTAACTATGTACGCGTTAGCGTTAACCTTCGTACAAAATTTAATGAGATTGAACAGATCGAGCTACACAATGTAGTGGGCCTGGTAATAAAGTTGTCATTTTGAGGACGATACGAATGCATAGTACTTGTCTCGCATCATTGGGTTTTAATTTAAATCATAAATTTTGAGGAAACACGCAGTTCATTCTATAAATTCCACGGACAAGTACACCTCGAAAATTGAATACCAGATCCATGCTAACTTCGAAAGTTGCGAAGAGTCGGGAAGAAAAAACGCCCACAAGAAATAATTGGAATTTAATTGTTTTCGTCAGTATAAAGTTACGTAATAAATAAATATATCTATGTAACTAACGCCTCCTCGCTTACCACCAATGCATCCACAATTCTCCTCATTTGCTGTGTAAATTCTGGATTCGCTCTCATCGGAGGCTTTGGATGCAAGTAGACGAATAAGTAAATCGGACCCGTCTCATCCCACAGCAATATTTTATAAAATGGCTCAGATAAAGATCCAGGGCTTGTATTTTGGACCTCATCTTTCCACACGACCTTCGCCCGCACATTGGCACTGTTTAAAAAATTGTAAATTTTAAGAAGCTTGTAATCGGGAGTTTACGTAATGGTAATCAATTTGCAATATCAAACAAACTAACGTCGACATAGATGGCAAAATATCCCCCACGCGAACAAGCACTATTCCAGGCATGGTTTTCCGACAAGATCATGAAATTAACTGACCCACATTCGCTTTGGTGATATACTATTCTACTCAGGTTTTAGGGTTGCAAACGATAAATGTATATGTAGAGTCTATCCAGCAATAGATGAGGGGATTTACATTTGCCATATCAAAGTTTGTGATAAATTTATCGCGTAAATGTGCAAATATTTACCGTGATGTGGGACCGTGCAAGCAGTATATGGCTGGTTCTCGGCATACTGGCTTTCATATGTATTACCCCTTCAATGGGAATGGGATTGATAAGAAACCGTTACCCGTATGTACATTCATATGTCGCCAGAATCTATCACATCCATGATGTACCCTCTCGTCCGTCATCATGCAAAATGCGCATACGTTGCACAAAATCCAAAACGTTTTACCGTCCTTTAACGTTAATAGATATCAGAAATTTCTTTCTGTTTTACAAACCATGACGGGTCCTCCTCACCATATATCTCTAGTGTTGAGTCGGATCTTCGTTATCTTAGCTACATAACAGGATTGCTGCTCTATTTTATTCTGCCAACCTGGGAATTTGTAGATAACCCAGATTTCTGGAAAAAGTTTGCCATTTTTAAGAGAGATAACTTAACTCATGGATTAAAAAAGCGGGCATATGTGTGAACTGGCTGCTCTGGACTTTGGCTTAAACCAATAAATAAGCTGGCACTTTGACATAAAACATGTAACGGCCCAAAATACCTACATTCATAAATGCATACGTTTCTTTTCCTACTTAGCAAGTATGCATGTATGTATTAAGAAAATAACCTTATACATAAATCCCACTCCTGTGCTAAGTTTTGTCAGATTAAGAAATTCTTATATTGCCTGGTAGATATAAATAGATTGGGCTAAACTGGGTACACATTTTTAAGCATATTGTATCCACTTAAATAAATGGGACCTTTTATTATAAACATACCCCATGAAAACTTGGGTCGCCGTGGGCCCATCATCTTCTTGCTTGGTCAAGTCTTGGTCCAGTCCAATTTAGGTTTATTATAAATAAACTTGGGGAGCAAATAACAACCAAAACCTTCCAACAAATCTATATTTAGAATAAACTTGTATATTGGGTCGAAATTTCCATCCACCTCCATCATTGTTCCATCATAGCTCTTCCCTTTCTCTTTTTCATCAGCACGAGGCCTTACAAAACAGCACAGTTGCTACATACATCTCAAAATTACCTAAAATAGTTGAATTGAAGGTTAGTGTTAATTAGTTAATGAAAGTACGACAAAATTTGATTTCTTTAGAATATTATCATTCACTTTATAGGTCATGGAAGTCATTACTGGATTAAAACCACAATCCTCAAAGGTTGGACAAATACCGTGTGTAAGTTTGAATTTATTTTTGAAGACGATATAAAGACAGCCAAATCGCTATGGCAATCAATTTCATTATTCGTGTGTGAGATATGATTCATGCAAATAATTACGCTTGAATATTATACCCCACTCGGCTTCATACGATTATATTCATTTTGTCATCATTTTCACCAAGGGGCTCTACATAAATTACGTCACTGAAAATTGTGAAATTTTCACCCCCCCCTCTTCCCCTTGTGTTATTTGCGGACTTCACCCAATGCCTTGAAACATTAGCGACTAACTGACCCATTTCCAAGGATACATGTGTGCACTGGCTTCGGAAGTCGGGGGGATTGGGGGACATTAACATTATGAGATAGTGGAGGGTAGAGTTTTTATAACATGGGCAGATTATGGGGACATCGAAAGAATTGAGGGGACATTGTCCCCCACTTCTGCCGCCGGTGAATGTGTGCCTTTAAAATTGTGAGTATTGACTACCAACACTTATGAGATTAGTACTGACAATACCAAACACTGCAGATACTGAAAGGCTAGGGCGGAGCTAAGCATATGACGTACAGGGGCCGAAAAAGCCGGAGGTCATCAAAAATATGACACTGGTGAACTGTCACCATTCCCACTCGCTCTATATTTCCTGAAAGACCTTTAAATTACCTTTCCAACGGCACCACAGTTAACCAGTGTCATATTTTTTATGCTTAGCTCCCCCTTTCAGCCTAGGCAGTGTTTGGAACAATCAGTGCAGAGCAGGGTGGAACGATCACGGGTTTTTTAACCCGTAGGTTTTGGGTTTTTTACGGGTTTTTTGAACTCTAAAAATAAAAAAACCCGGCGGTTTTTTTCATATACCCCAATGCTAAACTGGGTTTTTGCGGGTTTTATTGGGTTTTTTGTGGGTTTTTTTCTAACAACACACTAGATAAACCTTTCATATATCAATTATGAGTTCTCCAGTGATTCTTACATCTGTTGGAAATAGAAAAACTAAAATACAACTGATTTTACCTTATTTCCAATGTTAACAGAAACGCGATAAAACAGTCAAAGAAAGAACCTAAATTTAATTATTTTACATTACTCCATCAATAGCATACGTTGCTATCCTATTTTCCAAATGGGTTAAAAAAACAACCCAAAAAACCCCAATACATAAACCCAATAAAACCCAGAAAAACCCGTAAAAAACCCAAAAAACCCGAGTTTAACATGGGTTTATATGGAAAAAACTAGCTGAGTCGTATTTTTTGGAAAAACCCGGGGTTTTTTCGAACCCAGGTACAAAGGGTAGAAGCCTCGACTAAAGTTAACTAAGGAAATAATTAAAACAAACAAGAATATCGTACTTCTATCAATAACTGTTTGTCTTGCAAAAAGCCACACCCTCTTCTAGTTTTACCCTGCCACCTAGATTTTATATTCAGCTCGAATATTTCACGCGAAAAATTTCTTTAATAGTAGGTAATTTAAGGTACATCTTACCATTATGTAAGTAATTCTTACGTTTGATGCAAAGTAAAGTAAAATTTGGGTAATTTTAACGATCGAGTATTTTACCATAATTGGGCAAAGTTCATATTTCACGTGAAAAAATTGACCTCACGACTAAGCTTTAGCGACTCCTATAACTAAAAATAGTTTTTGTTTATTTCCACAGATTATCCACTCCATCCTAGAATTCGTCCCAACCCCATCCCTTCTCGAATTATCACGTGTCAACTCCACCTGGCAAAATGAGGCTCGGAACCACCTTCAGTCCCGAACATCTCTCCATCTACACACAAACAAAGTTAAACACAGTGTTAAAAATTACTTGAAGCAACCCTTCTTCCCACCATCCCCTAAAAGGATAGAGTTCAACCTCCCCCATAATTATATAAGCATTGACCAATTCTTCTTTCAACTTGCCCTATTTCATGACAAATACTCAAAAGCAATTCAACATCTCGGAATCGATTGGCCTTTAGTTACCGGGAAGTCACCCACATTTTGGAAACTTTGCTCAGCTTTTAAAAATCTCAAATCCGTCGAGCTACGTATAATTAATGTGTCCAATGACGATGGCTTGAGTTCGATAGAGAAGGCGCAAATTCCCTCGGAAATATTTTTCCACAAAGTTCGCAAGATAGGTATAAAAAAAACATGTGATAGATACTATAGACCTGTAATGTTAGGGGAGGATCTTGTTAGATTGATTTTATCCATGTTCCCAAATTACCAAGAACTATGCTTAACAGATCCAAGTTTAAGCTATCCGGGCGAAGGAGGGGGATGGATTACAGATCGCGAACATCTCTCACGTTTATTCGTGGTTTGATTACCACAATCTTTACCACGTTAAGAAACCTATCATGGAGATGGGGCATTCTGAGCCATGGTTCCACGTTCCATGAACAAATACTTTTTGACTACGGAAGGTATGCTTGGCCAAAATATACATTTACTTAGGGATTTAGTTCGCCAAATCCATGTTCGGGGCATAAGTCCTGCTAGACAATCGTATCGGCCACTAGCGGATATAACCTCCTTTCATGGATTTCTTTCCCTTATTATTCTGCAAGACGTGCTGACAACGGTTTTTGGGAATTGGACTAAATTTCATATTTTCGGGCCAACGTATCGAATCCAATTTTGCACACGTGGATATAGTTTTGTGCTAAATGAGGTTAAGAAATTTAGTTTTGTAGATCACCGTTTTGAATTTAACAATTTGTTTACTTTGAATTGAACTTTAATTTGTTTACGTCTACTTAAAAAAGAAATTAGCCACAACACATCACATTCCTCAACACCATACTCCAATAATAACGAGAATACAATTCTATGATTAACCAAATCAAACGCTTTAAAACTATCAATACCACAGACAATAGCATTAGCACCAGGAATTTCATCAGTTTTGAGAACAAAGTGGGACATTTTGACAAGATAGTGAGCAGTGGAAGCCTTCCATAAGCAACCATATTGATTGGGGTTGATTTTGGATTCTAACTGGGTATATAATTTGTCAAACATAAATTGCTCAGCAACTTTGAAAAAAATATCAGTTTGAGTTATAGAACGTAAATCATTTAAAGAAACAACTTTTGCCTTCTTGGCCAATGGGGTCACATAACCAATTTTCCACGAATTGGGTACCGTAAATGATTCAAAGGATTGGGATATAATATTCGCAAGAAGAGGACTAATAAATTCTTTAGCACTTTTTAACAAAATGGTTGGAACTAAACCAGGACTATTGGACTTTTTTATTCTTAATTTGGATAAAATTTTAATCACATCAGACGCACCAACCTTCATCGGTTGTGACATCTCACTAACTGGGCATAATAATAATCTGTCACACGACTCATATGTGTTGCAAATTTTGGAAAAATGACAGTTAACAGTACACGCCAAATCAAAATCGCTAGAATTAAAGTATGACCTATCGACGTGTTTAATTTTATCAATTACAGAAGTAACTGATAATCCACAAACTTTGCGAATTAGTTTATACCACTCACTACTGTTCATGTCAGGAATCTTCTCCCTAAATTTCTCCCTAATTGAACGTTGAGATTTGGCTATTTCAAGTTTTAAAAGGCTTTGAATCTCAAAACAGTTAACTCGTCTCTTTTTTATTTGCTTTTTCATACGTAATAATCTTTTAATATTCGAATTCATCCATATTGGATCAGATTTATTTACTAATTTAGAAAACGGTGCTGAAACACTATTGAAAACTGAGATCAATAAATC